TGTGTTCTGTAGAACCCCAGGGTTCCAGAGAACTTGATCAGGTACCGTGAGAGACTAAGAGCAAAAGTAATACAAAAACAACAGCAACACTCAAACATACCCAGTTTTTTTTTTACCAGTATAGCTTTGCCTTTGACCAAAGTTCTGGAATATTTTTTTTAAAAAACCCATGAATAGAACAAATAGAAAAATATGAGATCCCTGATGCAAAAGCTTAATCTAGCTTTGTTTGGCCAGCACATCTGGACACTGTGAAGTGGGAAGGCCTCTCTTTCAAAACTTCCTGTTCCTCCCTATACCTCCACTGCCATATTTTCCTGAAGATTTACCCCACTGAAAGAACCATCAACGTGGTCATTATAAAAGCACATCCCTTACCTTCTATAGAATCATTTATCCAGAACATCCCTTTCCTGATTGGGGTACTATTGGGACTCAGTCCATCGCTTCCCTAAGGAAAAGGACACACTAGGATCAAACTTCAACTAAATCTGGGGACCCCACCCTTGTTTTATAATAACTCCTGCAAATCAGTAGGAAATCCTCCCATGGATCTACATAGAAGCCAGTAGTAATTGGTCTTGAACTCGTGATAACTTAAAGACAAAATTGGTTATGCGAGAATCACTTGTGTTTATGAAAGACCATAGGCTCATTTAAGATTTTTTTTTAATGTTAAGCTCTGTACAAACCATTTTTAACAATATTTTAAATATTTATTTCGGTGATTCTGAACGAGGGATTGAACGTAGTCATATTTAGAATACATCCTCTCTCTCTCTTTTTTTTTTTTTTGATCAAGACCTTTCCTGCATGCAACTAACTGCACTGTACCTATATATATATCTTTTCTGCCTGGGCTAAGGAATTCCTCTTTTTCTAAGGATTTGAGATTTTAATACATTAATTTTGGAATTTTAACTATGGAATCTACTCAGAAATGCTTGTAATTGCATGGGTTAAAATTTTATTATATAAATTTGGAGCTAGTTATATAAATACATAGCTTCATATGTATCAGTAAACAAATTTCCAACAGCTACTTATTTTAATAAAGTTGAAGCATCTGAGAATCATGACCGGGAAATCACAATCCAAAGTTGTTACCTGTCAAGATGAGAAATAATGAATTCTGTCCAATTGCCAGAATGGGAAACTTATTTTTCCCTCTCTTGTTATATACTTATTACATACTTCTTGCACACATTCTTCTCATTTACCATACACTTTGTGCTTAATACAGTGTTAACTTTTGTATAGAAAGCATATGCAACAATCCTGCCACAAAGCACACAAATTCATACTTGGAAAATACTACAATCCTTTCCTCAGATAGCACACCTACTGGTGTGATAACCAATATGTTGTGTGGAATGTGATTGTGTGAGTCTCACAGAAACCTATTGGATATTTCCTCTGGTGCACCTGATAAAGACTGACTCTTCCTCCTTTCTCTATCTGTGCACCATTTTTGCAATTTTTCTATCAATAACTTAATATTTTGCTTGGATGTTTGGCATCATTTTTGTTTGTGTAGCCTAGCATATCTATCTATTTGTCCATTAGTCTCTCTATCTTTATCTGAATTTCGCTGCTCAACCGCAAAGGACTCTGGGCAGCCTACGAAACTAGCAAAAACATAAAAACAGATAAAAACATCAAATCAGTCAGCCCATACTCAAGTAATTTTATAAAATTTTTTTATAAGTAAAACAAAATGAAACAGGGGCCCTAACAAATAATAAAACACAACCCCAGGCCTCAGATCAAACATAGGTTCTCAAAGCACAAGAACCCTCCTCTTTCATGTGTATCTGTTTATACATGCACACGTTAAGAACAATGAAGCAATTCTCTCCTCTTATTCTACACTACAGTATATACCAGGGGTGTCAAACTGCCGGCCCATGGGCCGGATACGTCATGCCGAAACCATGCCCACCCCATTTCTGGCAATGGAAAAAAAAGTTGTGATATGTCACGACAAGTAACGTGATGTTGCGAGTTTGACACCCCTGATATATACTATCATAGCACTGTAGTCAGTTGAATAGGACACTCATTGAGGTTCAAACTTAGTGACCTCTTTGAGGATACGTCTTCTGCACACCCCATAACTATGTAGTTGGTGACAGAGCTGCAGACTCTTGACTATATTTTATCTACCCCCAGCAGACCTTAGACAGGGGCTCTCATCATCCTCTAATCCAATTTGCATTGTGTCATCATCATCGTTTGGAGGACTTCTCAGCTGTAATATATAGCATTGGTTTACAAACTGGCAAAGAAGGACAAATTCATTTGGGAAATTTCATTCTTCTCTCACTGCTTTCAAAGAGCTTGCTCAGTTTTTTTTACAGCCATAATGTGAATTATACTTCTTAAAGCAGAATGTTGTGCACCTGTTGTTTCTTTGACTCCATAAACTGATTTCAATAGGTGCTTGGTACTTCTTGTGTAGTGTCATGTCGCCATGGGCGAGGCATTCTTATTCCCGAATCTCTCTGTTCATCTCTCTTTTGACATTCCACTTGAGCAAATAATTCTTAAAGCAGCATTTACCTCTGGGAGACTAGTTGTCCCTCCGTGCTAAGAACGTGCCTGGCTCAGCAGAGCTGTTATTTTATTAACATCGTTTGAAGATTGTTTGTGCAACTCAATTGCCAAATCTTATTATTCCTGATTTTTATCTCATTGCTTGACATGCATGATAACTCCGAGGTGTCACCAATGAAACTCCTAAAGCTCTTAGATATAGGAGCAAAGGCTATTTATTTTCAGTTTCACAGTATCTGAGATCTTCCTCACCTTTACATCTTCTGTCTTTCAGCCTGGCTGTTTCTTTGCCACCCATTCTCAATTGACATGCAATGGAAAGTATATATGTACCCTAAATAGGTTTGCCATGCAGCTGGATTATTAATAGTGTTCTCCTACATAACCCAGTGATTGAGTCCACTGATGGTCAAAGGCTCGGTTCCCAAGTCATACTAAGCCATAAGGGAAAGAGGGATGTTTTTATTTGTTTAATATGAAGCTTGAATGCAGTCAGTGTGGCTGCTTAAAAAAATGTGGCTGGAAGAAGCCAAGGCTTACTACACTATGGAAATTTAATCAAATAATCACAGGTAGGCTTTGATTCTGAACACAGCAGAAGCAGCAGGGCAGGAAAACTTGATTCTGCATTGCCAGGCACGCGGTATACTTACTGCTTAGCATGTCTGCTTGAATTTATCATGTCAATTCTGGTGCCAACTTTAAGAACCTTTTGTTTCCTCTTTGCTCTATCATCTGGTGCTGACTGGGGCAGTAGCTAGGGTGGAGGAAAGGAATCCGGCACATATCTGCTAGCCTGGACATCCCATCATTTCAGAAGCTTCCCTCCCTCTTCCTCTTTTCAACCTCAACCTTCTAGTCCTGCCCAGTTCCTTGATCTTCCCAGCCTCAACTCTGCTGCTCAATTCAACCACCCACCAATCTTTGCCTTTCCGCCTTCCTTTCCCAGGAATTCAAAGAAGGGTGTTCATATCCCTCAGGTCCATTCATTTTTTTCTAACACCTTTCCTCCTTTACTCAGACATTAAAACATAAGCATGTATGCCAGCATGCCTACTTTTTAGGTTAGCGTTTCTCAAACTTGGCAACTAACATATGTGGACTTCAACTAATAATAATAATAATAAAGTTGGAAGGGACCTTGGAGGTCATCTAGTCCAACCCCCTGCTCAGGCAGGAAACCCTATACCATTTCAGACAAATGGCTGTCCAGTCGCCTCTTAAAAATTTCCAGTGTTGGAGCATTCAAAGCTTCTGGAGGCAGGTGGTTCAATTGGTTAATTGTTCTAACGGTCAGGAAGTTTCTCCTTAGTTCTAGGTTGCTTCTCTCCTTGATCAGTTTCCATCCGTTGCTTCTTGTCCTGCCCTCAGGCGCTTTGGAGAATAGCCTGACTCCCTCTTCTTTGTGGCAGCCCCTGAGATATTGGAAAACTGCTATCATGTCCCCCCTCGTCCTTCTCTTCCTTAAACTAGACATACCCAATTCCAGCAACCGTTCCTCATATGTTTTAGCCTCCAGTCCCCTAATCATCTTTGTTGCTCTTCTCTGTACTCTTTCTAGAGTCTCAGCGTCTTTTTTACATCATGGTGACCAAAACTGGATGCAGTATTCCAAGTGTGGCCTTACCAAGGCATTGTAAAGTGGTATTAATACTCGCAGAGTCGGCCAGCTGCCATACACATTTTGGATGCTTTTTCCTTTGAGGTCCCCAAATCTTCAATACACTTTACCACTGAAGTATAGCAACAAACCTTTGGCAATGTTATTTCCTAATTTTTTGCACCATATTAATATTAATAATAAAATAAAATACCAGCTAAGTCTTTAATTAGGCTTACCACACCCAAGAAGCTTAGCATCTCTGTAACCTTCTACACATGCCATCCACAGAAATACAGGCCTTCCTTACTCATTTCATGCAGTCACAGTATCATGTCCCTTTTGATTGTGTCCCTCAAAGAATAACCGTAACAACGACAGCACATTCCCGCTGGCCATCAAAGCTTTGCCACCCCAGCTCTGATCACCATTCTCCATTTAAAAGCATCACTATCTGCATAGGTTCACCTTATCTGGGGACCGGTATGCTTTATATATTCCAAACAAAGCACCTTGAGCTGTTTGTTTCTGAGACTTCTCCAACTCTATGATTGCTTGGTCACCTTTACAGAGTCGACATGCGAATTTACTTTGGTAATAGCAGCAGCAACAAATATTTCCCACACTGTCAAGCAAATATCCATCCTGCTTCAAGCAAAGCCATGCCCCCTGCTGCGGCATTTTCATCCTTTTCACAACAGATACCTATGGGGAATTCTAACCACGCTGAAGCAAACTGGAAAAAAAAAAATCAACCCGAAAGAAGGCACCAATTCTCTTCCTGCAACTAACGTAATAACAAAGGACACCTTTGAACTGCGAAAGAGGCAAAGGAGTTTCTCACCGGAAGATGCAATTTCATCTGGATTCAAGGATACCACTTCACGAGTTGGTTGTTCATAGAGGAGGAACTGGTAGCGGTGGTAACCACTTTCAGGGGGTGGTGTGGGCTGGAGGTAGTCTGGATACCAGAAATAAAAGTAAAATAAAATGCTGGTTGTATATGTGCGTATATGCCCCCTGAAAACATTTATCTAAGATCGAGACACAGCCACTTTGGAAAAGGAATGAGCCTACTGCCTTTTCTTAATAACCATCTTATTTGTTGAATTTATCTATACTGGGCCTCTTTGACTTATAGTTTTGCTGAGACTTTTTTTTTTCTATTTCTGAGGGATTTTTTTTTACACCTCTATAATTCTTAGTTTGTTTGTATTTATACACTACACCAGACGTAGGGGCTAGAATTCTTTATTTTCTTCAACTGCGATCCCTATTTAGAGAGGCATTATTAAACATTCCTAATAAGGAATATAATGATGGAAGCAAATGAGGATTAATGGTATAGATTTCAATCTTTCTTTAGAGCACCTGGTGTGTGTGTACAATCTCTGAACATGTTGCCACCCTTTCTCTTTATCTGGCTGTTTGCCATCAAGTTGCGAGAATGTGCTTGTCTTGTCTTTGTTGGAAAGAAACTCCCTTTAACCTCACCTGGTTTCCCCAACCACTTAAGCTGAGATTAGTTCCTTTTCTTTCCAAATCCACCTCTTGTTACCTCTCCTAACCCATCTTCCAGATGGATGACACGCAAACCCCAAAGCACTACCTAATTTTAGACTTATTCCAGTTTGTCTACCTCTCGCTATCATGCTCACAGGTATTTCTTTAAATAAAATAACTCACAATATGGGATTCTGTGTGGCTAATATAGGATTAAAAACAAAACAAGATAAACAATAAAGGCAAAACACACAATGTGATAAAAACAGGCTAAATAATAAATAGTAAAACGAGATTTCAAAACATGACGTATTCTAAATTATAAGTGAAGGATTCTCAATGTCCTAACCCAGTTCACAGGGGAAAACTTAAAAACTTAAGGAGGGCCAATTAGATTGGGTCACCAGAATCTTGGGAGGCAGGAGAACCCTGCTTTGACATGCTTTGTCAAAGAGCAGGCACCAGGACAAAAAAAAAAAAGAGAGAGAAAGGATGTTTTCTGGATCCCATTGATGGCATTAGAGGACCTGAAGTGTCAACCTATCAGCTCGTGTAGTAGGGGCAGATAATAACTGGAGATAGGTAGTCTCACAACTAACCTAGCTGAGCCGTGCTAGGTTTTATCATTTTAAATGTTGAAAGTCTATATGTAATTGTGGAGGGGAAGGTATAAATGTGAATCTAAATAAATGAATAAAGAATACTGTAACTTAGTTACGTTGGATTGAGGCCCCAACTGAAGAATTCCAGGCAAACCTTGGGTGTTTGTAGTGGGTTGGCTGCTGACCTGTATAAGCGCAATCCTCTATTTTAATGATGTTTCAATAATGTTTTCATTTGTGTTTGCCTTTTATTTTACTCTTGTTAGCCACCTTAAACACTGTCCTTTAATGAAAAAGCAGATAATTAATGCATTGATGTTCTTATCGCCATAATTCCCTGACCTGTAGGGAATTCTTTTAATATCTTTCTTCCCATCATTTTTTCATTATTAACCCGAACTCTCTAAGTTTCAACTTTGGGCCAAAATGGCCTTGCAAAAGAATAATTTGGAGGTGAGAAATGAATATTTTTTTTTCATCTTGCTTCTCTTCAATTGGATATTATTAGAGAGAAAAATATATTGGGAAAAATAGGCCATTTTTACATTAATTTCTCCCTGGGGAATGTAATCTGGTTTAATTGATTAATTAATCCAGTAATCCAATATACTCAGCATTCAGCTAATCATATAGGCTGAGTTTGTTTTTCATCCCAGGTTATAATGTGGTTGCCAATTTGTGTCTCAATATGATTTGAATACAGCTATAGAAATGCTAACGTACTTTAAAGCTATCCGTATATCATAGAGTTACATGAGTCTAACCTTTGTGAATGGTGGTGCATTATATAGAGACAGCTTTTAAAAAGGAAAATGATTACTTACTACTAGGAGGAAATGACTATTAGCAAAAGAGACTGAATGGCAAATTAAATATCTACACATTTTGGTCTAATGTGTTGTGTGAATAAAAATGTCATGCAAACATATCCTCTGACTGCATCAGGAGAGTGGCTTTTTTGTACAGTACATTGATATATGGTTAAAGAAATCATGGTTTATGGCAGTGTTTCCCAAACTTGACAATTTTAAGGCATGAGGACTTCAACTCCCAGAATTCCACAGGAATTAACTATGCTGGGTGGATTCAGATAGTAATAGCACTTAGACTTATATACCACTTCACAGTGCTTGTCAGCCCTCTCTAAGCGGTTTACAAAGTCAGCATTTTGCCCCCAACAATCTGGGTCCTCATTTTACCGACCTCAGAAGGACGGAAGGCTGAGTCAACCTTGAGCCGGTCAGAATCGAACTGCCGAATTGCTGGCAGCCAGCAGTCAACAGAAGTAGCCTGCAGTATTGCATTCTAACCACTGCACCACCGTGGCTGATATAACTCAATGAGCTATACATCCGTTCGCGATCCATATAATACCAACTAGTTCAATTTTAGCCCACAAACACAGCCAGTATCTATATTAATTGTACTTTTCATTATTTTTATTATTAACTCTTACAAGTTCATAACATATTAAAGATTCATAAGAAGATAAAAGGAAACATTCTAAATAGATTGTAGAAATTAAGAAAGATAAAATTAAAATAGGATATAAATGCAGCTACCAGAATACTAACGAACTAAAACTAAAAAACTGCTAAGTTGATAAGATACCCAAACATAGGATATGGAAATTCTCTGGAAAGAACAGGATAAGATATTTTAAATATTTTTTAACTTTTTTTTCCCCAGCATTGATTATTTTTTACATTTATATCATACTTTTGGCCACCTTTGGCCACCTAATGAGAAGGAAGGATTCACTGGAGAAGAGCCTAATGTTGGGAAAGATTGAGGGCAATAGAAGAAGGGGACAGAGAATGAGATGGCTGGATGGAGTCACTGAAGCAGTAGGTGTGAATTTAAATGGACTCCAGAAGATGGTAGAGGACAGGAAGACCTGGAGGAACATTGTCCATGGGGTCGCGACGGGTCGGACACGACTTGGCAATTAACAACAACATCATACTTTTGACCCAGGTCCTTTCTCATAACATCCCTGTAGAGTAGAGTAAGCTGAGGGAGTGATTGGCCTAAACTTGGTAAGATCCATGGCTGGATGGGTATTGGGAACTGGATCTTCTAAGCCTGTAACTAATTAAAGATAAAGTCACAACACTACCATAATGTTTGAGTTTAGGATAGCAACTGGTTGCTGTAGGGTTCATAAAAGCACTATTTTCTGTTTTTGCAGAACTGGCAAACTATATAATAGCTTTCCTCCGATAGCATGCATTTGACCATGACAGGGGCTTAAAACATATATTCCTGCCTGACAAGATGTTAGTTAGAAAGCAGGAATCCAGACCTCCCCATCAAGTTCCAACTTCAATCATCTCAACATTTCTAGCTAGTTTAGCTTCCATATGCTCTATCAATTGCATAGGTTGCCATAAGAACCAGCAAGAGGAAACTACACTTAATTTCTGAAGAGCTCAGATGTAAATGAAATCAGGGTATTACTTGCTGTCAATCTTTAATGCCTCACTAGTGGGTTGATGGCTTCCCCTCCCTCTGTGTTGTGAAAAAAAGAATCAAGTATCAAGCAGAGCTATTATGTATGCAGATGCTCCTTAATGGTTTAAAACCCCAATCTTAGCTCAAAGGGCATTTCAGATTGGATTCTAGAAGACAAGATGATGTAAAGAAATTGAAGAGATGAAATTCTTCATAGCCGAATCAAAAGGGGTGGGTGGGAGGTGGTACTCTTTCTTCTTGAATGTAACTATCACAAATTCACTTCCTGATGCACTTTTTTCACTTCAAAATTTTATGAGCAACAAAACGTAGCTTTCTTATGATTGTCCAGTCCTGCAAATCCATCAGCTGATGTAAAAGCCTTGCAGGTGGGGCTAGTGACACTGGAATTTTAAGAATATATTTTCAGCACTCCCACAATAAAATGGTTGACATGATGGATATGGCCTATCACAGCGTATCCATACAGCAGAAAACAAAGCAGAAGGCTATGGCCAGTTCAAATCGTATTTTCTAAGAGCTTATCTGGGACTCATATGAGACCCAAAGATATTGTTGAAGGTTAAAGTTATGCTATCTCGCATTGCAGTATGAATAAGCAGAAGGCACTAAACATCAAAGGATGCATTGATGGACTCATTATTACTTGGATGTTTTGAGGACCTCAAGTATAATCTGTGTCTACTTTACAGAGTAACAGGATTGGAAGGGACCTTGGAGTTCTTCTAGACCAGGGGTAGGCAACCTTGGCTCTTTTATGACTCAACTGACCAACTCCTAGAATTCCTGAGCCAGCCACGCTGAGGGGAAAGGGAGTGGTTTCCAAGCTGAGCCATGCTGGCTCAGGAATTCTGGGAGTTGAAGTCTGCGAGTCATAAAAGAGCTAAGGTTGCCTACCCCTGGTCTAGACCAACCCCTTGCCATGGCAAGAGATCCTATACCATCCAGGACAAATGGTTGTGCAATACTTTCTTGAAAACCTCCAATGAGGGAGCATCCACAATTCCAGGAGACAAGCTATTTCACTGATTAGCTGTTCTCACTCTTAGGAAATTCCTCCTTCATTCCAGATTGGGTTTCTCTTTAATGTAGAAACCACCTTTCTACTTTTCACTTTACGTGTGTGAACTTAGAAAAAATAGTCTTTGGGAAGCGGAATTAGATGCGGAAGATTATAGGAAGTAAGAGTAGGAAACGCTTTGCTTTTTCTGTGATAGGAAAGTATACCTATTGCATAACGATGGCTCTTCTTTTTGTATAAGATAAAGAAGAAGTCACAATCTGCTGTCCAGCTTGAGTGTGAAATGATTCTTCTGATTTGCTGGTCCGATGCTGACATTTCCTGGATTTTCTGAGCCTGTAGTCCTAGGAATCTTTCCTGTTATTATCTTCCCTCTCTGGAAATCTTGGAACCTGAACTGGGTCACCCAGAGCCTAGCCACACTATTCTGCACAGGACATTTCAAAGCTATTCTCTCTGCCATCTTTCGGAGAACCCATAGTGCATATCTTGGTTCTCAGTTTATTGGGGTCTCATTTTTACAAGGAGGTCAATGGTATGTATGCAGTAGTGTTTTTGAAAGCTAAGGCAACATCTTCTAGAACTGAATTTAAAAAAATAGAGTCAAATCTTGTCAGAATTTTGTCATGCTACCTTAAGAAGGGACATATTTGTTAAAATTCAACACCCTGCTTGTTTAAACAAGCTCAGAATCTATTGCTACTACTGTATAAAATGCCATCAGCAAATCTGTTTTGAATAGGCAAAACAAGTTCATAAAATACAGTGCAAGCTTTCAAAGTTTCTTGATTTTTTTTTTGTTTTCTTGGACCAGATGGAAAATACTTTAAAAATGGGGGTGGGAGTAGGGAAGGAAAAAAACCCCCTGATGTTTAAGCTTTGAATCTACATTTAGTTACTGTCTTGATGAAATACAGGAAATTTCAAATCAGATTTTGAGCTGATCTGCACTTAAGACTCACTTAAGGACTGATGGCATGAACAAGCAAATAAACAATGGCTGAACCTCCAATCCTTTACATGAATACAAAATCCACTTGTTTTACTCACACCAATCTCCATGGTTAGGCAAAGTGCACAAGTTCCTTGCTAGGTGGAAAAACCAGGCTGTTTTTACATTAAGCAAGATGTAAATTTAGATGGTGCACTCTGTTCAAGCAAATTAGGACAAATATACAGACCATGCCTCTTGAGTTCTTTCCAGTCCCTTTATTAGTAGTGGCCATAATAGGCACAGTATTTGTATTATACTCTGCAATGTATTGCATCTATGGCTAAATTGAGATTATCTATTGATGATGATGGTGGTTTTAATTTTACTTCACAGATTTTCAAATGTATCACTGGACTTCCTTCTTATTGGCTATATTTATGTGGAATGAAAATTTTGTATGCTACCAATACCTGTGGGCCTCACTAGAAAGATTACTTATTTCCACAAAGATCTTGGCAATTACATGGATCAATGTATAATAAAAAGGATTTTTTTTATTTCTAAGATTGAAAAGAGTTAGACATATTTGGACCTTTTGGATTGTAGATTAGATTTTGATACTGAGGTTCACTAATGTTTATCTTTATGGAAGAATCAGGCATGAGGAATTATTAAGAGAATTATTTTGAAAAAATTGGAAAAAGTTTTATATGAAGGATTACATACAAAACATTTTTGAAAAGGCAATCTACTAATCAACACGTTTACCTTTTGCACAGATTTTGTTATTTATTCAACAATAGTTTTTCTTTTTTAATTTGAAATGACCATATATTGTTTAATACTTGATATTGCTCTAATATCGAGTTAGATGTTTACTTTACTGAGTGTTACCTGCATTTTTAAAAGCAAAACAAATTCCTAAGGAATTTGTAATGTAAGGTAAAGACAGCAGAAGCAGACAGAAAAGTATAATGAGGGGAAAATATGCAAAATACTGTTATTCATACTTAGGAGTTTTTTTAAATGTATTATTGAAAATGAGGACAGACATTGGCTATGTAAAATAGATGGGTTTTGTTGGAAAATTACTGTGGGTAATTTCCAGGTTCGTGTGCATCCAGCACATTCCCAGTCACACTACATCAAGAACAGAGCAAACACACCCATCCCTCAGTACGAGTAGCCAGAATATAGTTTAATGTTTATTTATCAAATATAGAAATGGGGTTTCCCCATCTCCTGCCTGCCTGCCTGCCTGCAGCAGTGTTTTTATATGGAAATTGCTCTAATAACCATACCTACTTCCGTTCCTATTGGAGAAGTAGCTTTTTGGACCTTATAAATCCTGTGAAATGCGTAAGTGTCTCTTTCCAATCTGTTACCATGCGGAGATAAATACTTCCTTTTCTATAGGAGATGCTCTTTCATGAAATCAGTTGAAAGAGGTGGAATTTGGGAATGGCTTTTGTGCTGGTGGTGTCACACCTCAGCATGAACTTCAATTAGGTTGCACTAGAGACTAAAATAATTTGCAGCAGCATCAGAATTACCTGATGCTTTAAAAAAAAAAAGATCCAGGAGGGGGAAAATGAGGTGTTTTGGGATCATTCCTATGTAAGAGAACAGTTTTACAATTTCCCCGTTTCTTAACAGACAAAAAAAAAAAAAAATCTAGCTGTTGAATGACAGTGACCAATGGGATTCATCTTGATGTGCTTTGAATGGATCTGGCCTTCACTGATTTGCAGGCAATCAAGATCACACAATCACACACATGAACAGGGATCCATACTTCCTATACAACTATAGAGACCTCTGTAACAGATACCGAATGATACACAGAAGTTCTTAGGAAGTATTGAGGGCTTCTGCTTACCTGCTAATACATGACCTTGCAGGTTCCCCGTCTTCAAATCAGCACCCTGAAAAGAGATAAATTGTGTTAAATGGAACCAGCTCTTTTCCAAGATTTCATAAATGTACATATTGTGTAGATTTTGTTTAGAAGAATATGAATAGGCGGGCAGAAAAAAGGAAACAGAGTTCGCATTCACAGCTATTGCTACCTGAAACAAAAAATACACAAGCAGCAAATTCACAGCCAAGGTAAAGTCCTGATCCAGGGATCTTCAAACTTGGCTCTTTTATGAGTTGCATTGTGACCTCAACAATACTAATTAAAGGGGTGACCCAGTTGAAAGGCTTCAGTTGAGTATGGAGCTAGTGAGGATGCAACCAACATATTTCAAAGCTGGTGTTGCATGCATGAAATCACACCTAACTCTTTTTTATTTTTTTTGCTCCATTTTGAACTCTCAGAACCAAGACGGGATTGATATGAAATAAATGAATTATCTCCCCACGGCGGACAAAGAAGGCTGTTTGACTAAAAAACAGGAATCTTACTTTGTCCTTATCAACTTAAGTACAATTTGTAACAACTTCCCATACTAAGAGATTAAAATGTCCTTTACAATGATCTTGTTAGGGGAAAAAATGAAATGATATTTCGCCTGATTAAAGTTGTCTCAAGTTTGCTTAACTTAACTTCACTTTACTTGTTTTTTTTTTCTTCTAAAAATTGCCTGACACTTTGTTTTGTGCCTAATCAATACAGCAAAGATGGGGAGGGGAAACCTGCTGGTGGGAGCTATAGTTTGCTTGCTAATTTATATTTAAAGTGTCGTGGCTTTATAGATGGCAGCACAGCACTCTGTGGAATTCTCCTGAATCACAGGCTGTGCTGTTACCATGTCACAGAGGGAGTGACAGACTGGTAGCACTGGACCTGTTGTCTGGGCTCCAGGTTGCTAGGAAGGCTGCAAATGTTTTCCTTCCTTCCTGTGCATACAATGTGAGGCCATTGTATGCACAGGAATTCAGGCAGTAGCTAATTATTTTCTTTGCCAAAAAGGTCGCCGTGGTTTTAAAAACAAGTAAACTAGTACACCAAAAAGGAGGTAAAGTATGAGGAAAGAAAAGGGAAATATGCAAGGACAATGCACATATTTGTCAGCTGTATCCCGAAGAGGTATTCATTGAAAACATTTCAGCTCTGTCAAAGACCATTTAGGTATTTAACACATGATGCTGAAAAGTGCATTTAACTTTTTCTCATGTTTTTTTTCTTTCTTTCTGTTAGATGTGCATGCCTTTAAGGGGAAAATTGTTTAAAAGGTATCGAATGGGCTCTAAAGCCAAACTCATCTTGATTTGAATAGAAGTTAATTTAACTGTAAAAAGCATTTTGCAGATCTGTTTTCAGAATTATAGGCTTGAATTTAATCATAATTAAAATTAAAACAGTGATATGTGTTTGATTAAGTGTTTTGAAAATATATTAAATTGTAATCGATAATAGTTTATATGTGGCATAAAGTCATTTACAAACAAAAAGGTAAGAACAATGAACTACCACCAATTTATTACTGTATTATCATTAAACCTACTATGCCCATTAAAAAGGCAGAACATGTAAAGTTAATAATAATTTCACAAGTCAACACAGCCATGAAGATTTATATCATCTATTTCTAGCAGCAGAATAAAATCATAACATTGGAAGAGACACCAAATAGGTCTGTTCAGTGATGTAAACAAATTAAACCATCCACAATAGATAGTTGTCCAGCTTCTGCTTACATGCATCATATAAAGAGAATAAGAGATATTTAAGTAGCTTAGCACAGTATACATCTTGATATTCAGTTTCTGATTGAAAGCCTGTGGTCACTTTGAATTCAGTATGAGTGTAAAGGATATCCCATTAATATACAGTGGCAAATTCCCAGTTGATTTTAGTAGTTATGGATTATTTGTTAAGTGACAGTGCATTCCTACGTAGGGCTAGAAATACCTTAAGCGCTTAAGTGTTTATTGCATTCTCAGAGGATTGTCAATGCTTTTTCAGTTCTATACAGCGATGCTATCTAAAAAGCTCGGGCCAGCCCACAGCTTTGTAAATACTCTTCACAGCAGATTACAATGAGGTGGATGCATTTTTTTTAGACCAGATATATTATCTTTGCACTTCATTCTTAATCATACAATTTTATCAGTCATCAAAATTCCTTCTGCATGAAAAATATGCTGCAAGTTTAGGTGAATGTTAGTTCTAATGTTTTGTTCAGTCTGCAAGCAAAGTGTTCCATATATTGGCATTAAGGTACATAAAGGTTGGGACATTGTGCTTAAACTAGGTATGATGGTGGCAGAGCCAACTTTGATCTCTTTTCTCCTTTATAAACATACAGGTTTCTGATACTCTACTATTTAGAATGGGAAGAAACCTGATAACACTGATTGCAAGTCAGTTTAGCAAAAAAAAAAAAAAAGATTCTTATGATTAAAAAAAAATCTTCAATCTACCAGAAGTAGATAATTTATTTATCTCCTACTGATAGGCTGAAATAATTATAAAACAAAAATATAGCAGAAAACATTACAGCAGGATTAGCAGTATTAAAGAATAAGGAATTCATATGGCATGATATAATATAATTTAATAATATATGGTGTTTGTTGCACTAAATGCACCTGTCCTGTGGAACTTCCTGCCATACCTGTTGCTACTTTAAAGTCTTCCCTCCCATCCAGCTCTGATAAACCATATCAGTTTTGATTTGCAACATCTCTTATTAATCCTGTAGTATGGACACACCTCTTTTCTACCAAAAAGATTCAAGTCTAACTTGATCCAGTAAGTTATCATTAGAAATAGTATGATGATAATCACTTCAGATAACTAGCCCAATTTTTCAAAATATACTGAATAAAAAAAGAAAGTAGTATGAATTATGGTTTTTTGAACTACTATGCCTTATTAAAAGTACCCACTTTTCGGCATCGTTCCAATGCTTTTAATATTTTTACAATAGCAATTAAACAGGAAAAGTCCATCACCAAACACCTAAAAAAGTTTCAATTAATTTCTGCCTGTCACAAGGGTACTGAAATCATAACAACAAAAAATGGCAATAGTGTTTATCAGATGAGATGCTATTTTAATGTTGTATTCCAAATTGGCATGTAGCTAAGCAAAAAAGATCTCATGTAGAATATCAAATCTATTAGTTACCAATCTGATGATGGAATCACCATTTTATGGAGAGAATGGCATAGGAAAACAAACCAAACCAAACCAAAATGTTTAGCAAAATAAATGTTTATTTATTTATTTCAAATACTGCATTACAGTATAAATTTTGAATAAGTAAATAAAAAATTCAATAGATTTCTCTATCTTACTGTGCCTTTTTCACATATAGAATTATAATGAATAATATGCTTCTGATGAATACCTGCTATTGTATTAAATCAGAACTGTGGGTAACAAGAACATATCTTGATAGTATACATAAAACAAAAAAAAAAACAAAAAAAAATCCTGGCATCTTATGATAATAATCTCATGAAGCCCAGAACCTTTACACAGAGAAGTCTGGTAGTAGTGCACAGTGGTAGTCTAGTTACTTGCCCAAACTTCACATATCAGACAAGATAATCATTTGTCTACTATACACAGAATAGCTGGTTGCATCTTAGGGTCTTTCAAATGTGGTTATGACTACAACTTAGTCACTATAATCTAACAAGACCCAGCAGAACCAACTGACCTGGAATAGTGTAGCTCTAACTAAATAATATACTTACCTCTACATTGTTCTAATAATCTGGAACCAAATTATTTGGGAAGTATCACACTACCAGCCAATTTTGCAAGCTTATCACCATATAATAATAGAAAAGAGAATGATTTGTGGCATAGAAACACATTTTAAACACCATCAAAGACTAAGTGAATATGACTGCTTCACGACAACAATACATTTGCCTTGTTTTGCAAATTAGCATTAGATGCTCAATTGTACTGAAGTATTTTGTGGGCTGCATTTTAACCGCTCCCATCAATACCTTTCTAATTTTGAAAAGAGCGACATAGTTGACTAGTCTGTCTTGAAATCTTACGAGCCAAATTAAAAGGCATGCTGTTTTGAAAACTGTATTTTTTTGCAGTGAGTTATGCTACAGTACTGTTCAATTAGACATACCATTTGGGCTATATAAATCAAGATAACCATCTCATGGACTCATCTTCAGTCCAGTTCAAAATGCCTAAGCTTCATAAGCAAATACAATTCCTGGGAAAAATAGTTTTATTCTGAAGGTTAATTCAAATAGTCTGCTGCTAAGAAACATTTAACCTATGGCAACCCCACAATGGGGTCATACTATGGGTAACTAACTAGGTCATATGAAGTGATTTATGCATAGCATAAAGGAAGGCATTTGCTTGAGTTGAGCTCAGCTCCTGGTGACTTCATAGGCACAGCCATGTAACTTTCTTGGCAACAGTAAGGAAGTTATCTTCTTCTGGAATATTTCTATCAACTTCCTTGTCTAGTTCTGGGAATTCTAAATGGTCTCCCATCCAAGTACTACATGGATCTGACTCAACTTAACCTTTGAAGGTAAGCTGAGGCCATCTATAAAGAAAGGATGAGCAAACAGATTAAATCATGCTAATAATAACTGTGCCATGCCAAATCATTTCAAAACTAGTTAAGTGGCAGTTTCAGTTGACACCGAATCATTCATTTAGAATTAATGGATCTAGGTCAATAGAGCAGGCTGATCTGAAATGGGACCCTTCTTGTGAGGGAGGGGGTGGGACAAAGTATTACTAACTCTTGTTTCTTTTATTTCAATTGAGTTTGTAACTAACATACTTATAACAGTTGTATGTTCTTCAAGCAAAATTTATTTCATTTGATGATAGCTTGAATGAGTCATATCTACTTCTGTACTTTTCTGGTTTTATGGCAGTGTCAAGGATTTTATCTGAGCATCCCTATAATATATTAATACAAATCCTTATTGTATTGTCAAATAATTTAGCAATATACTCCTAAACCCACAAAGA